TTCACCCAGAAACATGATGGAACCATCGCAAACAATTCGCTAAAAGCGGAGTGGAGGGGAGAGAAAAAACGCGAATAATGCTAAACAAAACTTTCAGCACTGGGCATCAAGTCAAAATCTCTAACGGGAAATCACGCCAAATTCTTGACTGAATCACGAGTCTGTCTCTCTAAGAGAACTCCTTGCCTGAACACACCTGGGTAGGGGCCTGGTAGCCTGGTGGATAGAGCGCAGGATTCGTAATTCTGTGGCGCGGGTTCGATTCCCGCACCAGGCAGAAACAAATGGGCAAAGTTTCTTTCGCCCTGAATGCCCCTGTTACCTAGCAGTAAATAGGTACCTGGGAGTTAGTCAGCTGTCACGGGCTGCTTCCTGGTGTGTGTGTGTGTGTGTGTGTGGTGTGGAAAAAAAATAGTAGTTAGTAAAGAGTTGATTGACAGTTGAAAGGCGGGCCGAATAATCAAAGCTCAACCCCCGCAAACACAACTAGGTGAATACAATTAGGTGAATACACCTGCATGTAGCTTATGCTAACTATCAATGGTTTTAACGAAGATAATCTGAAACGATAGCGAATTCGTGAAAAAAAAACAGCATGGGAAAAAACGGAGATTTATCAGGTGCCTCGATCAAATTAATACCTCAATCTCATGCTTAATTTTGTACCTAATCCACACAAGACAAAGCAGGATAATACATTTTTCAGAAGAAATAACGTATTTACCGGCAGAAGGACGAATGATTTTCGTTCACACCTAAAAGAGTATACTATACACTAATCCATACATACATAAAGTATACACTAATCTATACATACCTATACACTTTATCCAGAAAAGCATAAAATTCATGTGGTTTCCCCTTATAAAACAACTTGACCAACGCTTTCAATTATGAGGAAACACTAAAATATCATTTTACCACAAAATATCTTTGTAAAAATGGCACCTATTTTACCCTTGGCAATTACGAGAGTGATCGTGCGTTGGAAAACATCCCGGGGTACAACTGAGCTCGAGCACTCAACTTAATAACCAAGCTTTTTCTCTCATCAACTTCAAGCATAACTCTTGGCCGCTTGGAGATCCAATTCTCACCAGCATGAAAATCCAACTCTCGGTAAATCCTTATATATTTTTTTTAGACTCTTACTTGCCACTGGATGTGGCTGCATACCTTAAGTCAAACTTAATTAACTTGCGAACATCTACTTATTGAGGTTAATTGATGACTGTTATATTGTTCCATGGTATAGAGCAAATTATATATATATATATTATATATATATATATATATATATATATATATATATATATATATATATATATATATATATATATATACATATATATATAATATATATGTATATATATATATATATATATATATATATATATATATATATATATATCTATATATATCTATATATATATATATATATATATATAAACGTAAGTCTTACCATAAGTATTTTTGCTTTAGATGTATCCGAGAGGCGGTTCTGAGTCTTTGTGTACCGTTTGCCCAGTTACCTGTACCCCCTGTTCTTGTTTTTTTTTGCCTTACACGTGCAAGTGTTGAATTCTAGTTGCCATTTCTTGGATTTGGCACTCTATGTTTTCATGAAGTGCAGTATTCAATCGTCCCGACTTACTCATTTGTTTGAAATCCCCAAACACGTAGAACTCCCCCCCCCCCACTCACCTAACCACTTGGGCTGGACGGTAGAGCGACGGTCTCGCTTCATGCAGATCGGCGTTCAATCCCCGACCGGCCAAATGGTTGGGCACCATTCTTTCCCCCCGTTCCATCCCAAATACTTATCCTGACCCCTTCCCAGTGCTATATAGTCGTAATGGCTTGGCATTGTCCCCTGATAACTCCCTCCCTCCCCCCCCCCCTTCACCTCCCGTGGCTAAATTTTGACATGGTTGAGGAATAATGTGTATTTATGCCGATCATTGAATGACTTTGCTTTGAAGCTGGTCAGATTTCTTGAATCTCAATGTGACACTCTGTTTCCTATCTGTTAGCTAATTTCTTTTCACTGATGGTTTAGGAATTTTTAGAAATATGACACTGCCAATTCCTCTCTACGTCTTAAGAAGCACTCCAAAACTGGCATGATTTTTCTTCTATAAAGTTGTTTTGGTGCTTGCTAGAACCGTAATCCTGTTTTGTAGTTGTTATAACAATCTCATCTTATACATATTAGCAAAGAAATAACACTAACGTGATTATAGTAGTCTTAATATGGAAAGATTCCAGAAACAACTTCAGGAATCTTTCCTTATTGGACTCCGTACAAGTGTCAACACTAGACTCGACACAAGCCTGGTCGAGGACCGAGCCGCGGTGACGTTGAGCCCCGAAACAGGTACACTCAGCCCCCTTCAGTAGGAAGACCCCACGTTTGATACGTGGGCCGCCGTCCAAGCTTTCTATCACGACAGTTTGATCCGCTCAAGCAGACTGTTAGTGTTCGCAAATATTTACGAGAAAAGGGGATTTTTTTTTAAGTTCGGTTTTGGCTTTAATGCCAATTCAACTCTGGAGAGTTGTTAAGGTTCTACAGTAACTACCTGTTATCAAAATGATGATTATTATTATTTTTTAGCATAATTTTTTATATATTAAAATGTGATTAACTATTTGATTAATATATTGATTAATATGATTATTTTATATTATTGTTAATATTTTTTTAATATTATTTGATATTATTTGGTATTATTGATTAATAATAATAATATAATTACCACTAATATTATTATTAATCTCTGCAGCTTAATAATAGTCGTAGACTATCTATATTATCTCCAGGATGGAGATTCCTCCTTGCTATTGTCAAGCCAGAGAGAGAAAGAGAGAAAGAAAAAGAGCGAGAACGAGAGAGAGAGAGAGAGAGAGAGAGAGAGAGAGAGAGAGAGAGAGAGAGAGAGAGAGAGAGAGAGAGAGAGAGAGAGAGAGAGAGAGAGAGAGAGAGAGAGAGAGAGAGAGAGCGAGGGAGAGGGAGAGAGACAGAGAAGCAGAAGAGAGAAAAAGAACGAGTAAGAGAGAGAAAGATAGTGGAAGATAGAGGTAAAAAAAGATGAATGCGGTTATTTCCGCTGAATTGTTAAATACAACTCCAACGATAAACTTTCCAGTCATTGGTCTTGGGTTCCTCCCGCTACGCGACGGGCTTGGCAAGCCGGTATAAGTCCCCTCATGTTTAACATAGTAAAAAGTAATTGGATGTATATCTCAATTCAGTGAAATGTTTGAAGGAAAATAAGATACGTGTGTGTGTGTGTGTGTGTGTGTGTGTGTGTGTGTGTGTGTGTGTGTGTGTGTGTGTGTGTGTGTGTGTGTGTGTGTGTGTGTGTGTGTGTGTGTGTGTGTGTGTGTGTGTGTGTGTGTGTGTGTGTGTGTCTGCAGGATCGAGAATTGACTTTTGGATCCCGTCTTGGATGTGTGTGTGTGTGTGTGTGTGTGTGTGTGTGTGTGTGTGTGTGTGTGTGTGTGTGTGTGTGTGTGTGTGTGTGTCTGCAGGATCGAGAATTGACTTTTGGATCCCGTCTTGGATGTGTGTGTGTGTGTGTGTGTGTGTGTGTGTGTGTGTGTGTGTGTGTGTGTGTGTGTGTGTGTGTGTGTGTGTGTGTGTGTGTGTGTGTTTTGCATTGCATTGGTAGCCTTTAAAAATGTCCACATTTCAGCAAAAGTTGAAAAACAACAAATTATATAGTAAAAACGACCAATTAAGTAAAACAATACACTTTAAGACAACTAAATTGAACGAGGTTTTCTCCATGGTCTTAGAAGAATGTAAGGAAGAGCTCATTCAATCCCCGTGAACCATATGTAAACAAATCATCGTTAGAACAGGGCATTGTATAACTTTCGTGAATAGCGTAATAGATCACTGATATCTTGTCGTAGGCTACATCTTAGAGCAAACAATATGTCTTGTAGACTACGAATTTTTTCATATATGTCCACTACATTGGCCAGATGTTCTCCCCACACTGATCTTCAACACGACCCATACCCCTGACTATATATGTGCAAACGGCCCGCCCTCTACACACAACTGACTATATATCTGCAAGATGGCCCGCCCTCTCCATACAACTGACCATATATCTGCAAGACGGCCCGCTCCTGTGCCAGGTAAGTCCACTACGGGCTCACTATAGCCCGTGCTACTTGCCCCACTCCTGTGCCAGGTACGTTACGGGCTCACCATAGCCCGTGCTACTTGGAACTTGTTCCGAGTAGCTGAATCTATAACAACAACAACAACACGAAACCGTTCATGCAAAAATTACTTTAATTTTCTGAAGATAAAAAACAAATATCTGTAGTCAATAAGAACACAAGAAACAACAACTGTATCAAGAGCATTGCAGGCTCGAACTTTTCTCTGTAGTTCGGTGGTACAGACAGTCGGTTCATATCCGATTGTTCCCGAGTTCGATTCCTAGGTCTGGGCGATACGGTTGTAAGATTTTCCCTGCACTTGATTGGCTCTGCTCATCACGCAGTAAAATAGACACCCAGGAATTAGGAAACTGTTGTGGGTGGCATCGTGGGAAAAGGTCTACCATTGGTTTAGGTATTACGTTAAGCTCGATCATTCTGACAAGCTTCGTCAACCAGTCAATGTGAAACAAAGAGCAAATTACAGAAAAATAACTGAGAGGAGTTAATTAATACCTGTAACCTACTACCTACACGGGCGCCTGACAGCTGGGTGAACAGCGGTTCGGATTCGTACTCCTGAGGTTCCGGGTTCGATCCCCGGTGGAGGCGGAGACAAATGAGAAAAATGTTTCATTCATCCTAATGCTCCTGTTACCTAGCAGTAAATAGGTACCTAGAAGTTAGACAGCTGCTACGGGCTGCTTCCTGGGGCGTGTGTAACACAATTAATGTATAATGTGTGTGTGGTCGAGGACCGGGCCGCGGGGACGCTAAGCCCCGAAATCATCTCAAGAAAACCTCAAGAAGCTACTCACCTTATGTAAATATTGGTGAACTGTGGCTCCTTTCTTGAATAGCAGCGGTCTTTACACGGGCTGAAATTTTGTACTGTAATGAAGGTGACACATTCACTCCTGTGATGTGTCGGGGTGACACATACACTCCTGTGAGTCCCCCCGGGCGTCTTAGACAGGATCAGTCCTGCCGAGTCTCCTAGGGTCCTCCTTACATTGCTAAACCCTTTGTGCCGAACTGTTTCATGTTAATGTCTTCACTACAGCATCGAGTACCGTCTCACCATTTTCGAACAAACAATTCTTTATTTTTTTTGTATTAAACCTCTGTTGCATTCATTTTCATGTTTGAGTAATGGTGTACATCTTGCTGGACTTTTCAGTGCGTGTCAAGCGACATTATTTACAGTATATTTTGAGTTCTAAATGACGGCGTCCGATGATATAGCCGGAAAGGTTACTCGTCTGAGAAATGCGATCATTGGCAGTATTCGCTGACCGTGTGAATAAAGAGGTTCTTAAAATACACACTGACATAAAACACTAAGAACTGAGTGTAATCTCGGTGTTCTGAGTGGGTGGAGAGGGAACAAACCTGTCCACAAGTCACTGTTGAGTAGCCTGATTGTACACACCTGCCCGCAAGTCACTGTTGAGTAGCCTGATTGTGCACACCTGCCCGCAAGTCACTGTTGAGTAGCCTGATTGTACACACCTGCCCGCAAGTCACGCTTGAGTGGCTTGACGGTGGACACACAGCTGTCCGGAATACACTGTTAAGTGTCTTTGAGAGTGCACACACACACACACACCTATCCCCCTACACACACATATAGGTACTGCCCCAGTAGACGTGTCGTAGCGATTAGGAAAACACTACGAAATAGTATTCATTTAACTTGAAAATTTTCAAAAGGAAACCGCACACATCCGCTCGTCTTGAACTACGGTTTAATTGAAATAGGATTTGAGCTCTTCATACAGGAAACACTAGACGTTCCTCTTGCAATATCAACACTGTTGCGTATTCATCACTAGGCAACATGTAAAACTAGAAGATGTATAACGTCAAAAATGTATAATGCAAAAGTTCAGTGCAGAATGAAGGTATCAGTATACATCGATAGACAACACAATGCACTTGTCAACGCTGATGAAAAACACTGTTTACAAGTTTACAAAGATTACTTAAAAGTCTATTACTAAATGTTCTGTATTTAGACACTAACAAATTTCATCACTTTGCACTATTTCACATTGTATTTGAGCTGTTTGAGATCAGCCCGGACTGTGTACTCCACTAAAGACATTCCGTTTTATAATTTTCTATAAAATCATTTAAAAATCTCCAGGAATTTCTATATACCACAAGCACGAAGTCAGTAAAATATCAATGTATTGCACACATATATAGAAGCCGAGATTAATATACATTAAACATCAAAGAGTATGAAATGGAAATTGATGCTCAAATAGTTTTTGATTGACTTGAAGTTACACTGTCGCGGGGTGTGGCTCTGTGCATGTTTCCTTTCCTTCTGTCAATCTGTCCACGAGTTCTTACCCCGCCTCAAAGAGCTGGGTTAAGATATACATGACTTCAAGAGGCGGAATTTCGCTTAGTGTGTATGTGAAAAGGCGCAGCTGCGTCTCGGTGCGTGACTCTAGGGGAGCGCACACAGGTCGAGCAGCAGCAGCAGCAGTGGTAACAGCAACAGCGGTGTCAGCAGCGGCAGCAGCAGCAGCAGCAGCGACAGGAGGCGTGAAGCTCGCGTCGCCGGTCCGCTGCTGACTGGCTACCAGCTGCTGGCTCCAACCTCACACCACCAGCACTCCGCTTTTCCCTCCATCCCGTCATGCGCACCTCCCCAACCCTCCCTCTCTCTCCCTCTCTACTTTCCTTCCTCCCTCCCTCCCTCTCACTACTTTCCTTCCCCCCTCCCTCCATCTCTCCCTATCTCTCTCTATTTAACTGTTGGTCAGCTTATACACAACAAATTTCAACGTTTTCCATTACCCTTAAGGTGACCCAAAACCCTTCAAGTTGCACCATACCTCCGTCTCCACGCACCTTCTCCTCTCCAAGTGCGTCACGAAGATATACATAAAATATGCAATTTTTTATATCTAGGGATCTTTTGAGGTTGGGTTTTAAGGGTTTAGAGAGATAATTAGGGCCGAATCCAGCGCCAGAGACGAGATCTCGCGGAACAAGGGAATCTCTCTGAGCATTTGAACTTTTGCCACGTTTAGACAAAAAAAAAAGGTCAAGAGAGGGAAATATTGGACATAAAATATGGCCAAGCCAATTGTTGACAAACTACTTTGATCTCAAGGTAAACATATATATATTTAGGTTACTCTTTTGCCTAATAGTTTGTCTTGGTAACGAGGGACTTATTATTTTCTTGCAATCAGCATTGTGTCTTGTAACATAATTTAATTTTAATAAAATAAGAGGTAATTTCAAATATTTTGAACATTTTACAGTTTCAGAGCAATTCACATTTTTTTCCTTTTGAATAATGTATATCTTGGCTCTATTATTCAACTGGTTTAATGTATGATGTACTCATACTGGCTTCTCTAATTGGCTTTGTCTCTCTCTCTCTCTCTCTCTCTCTCTCTCTCTCTCTCTCTCTCTCTCTCTCTCTCTCTCTCTCTCTCTCTCTCTCTCTCTCTCTCTCTCTCTCTCTCTCTCTATATATATACACATACACATATATACACACACAAACACACACAAAGACACACACACACACACACACACACACACACACACACACACACACACACACACACACACACACACACACACACACACACACACACATATATATATATATATATATATATATATATATATATATATATATATATATATATATATATATATATATATACACACACACACACATCCCCAGGAAGCAGCCCGGAGCAGTTTTCTAACTTCCAGGTATCTATTTCCTGCTAGGTGAACAGGTGAATCAAGGTGAAAGAAACTGCACATATGGAATCAAACCCGGGCCATTACGACTGCGACCCCCAGGCGCTGTCCACTCAGCTGCAAGGCCACCCCCCTGTGTATGTGTGTGTGTGTGTGTGTGTGTGTGTGTGTGTGTGTGTGTGTGTGTGTGTGTGTGTGTGTGTGTGTGTGTGTGTGTGTGTGTGTGTGAACTAAATGTAGTAGATATGACACAGAAAAAATATAAGCATTGAGTCAATTCATTAAACACCCGATTGTTACAAAAGTGGGGGTTCGAGAACTAACAGCTCGATTCCGCAGTCAGAAATAGTAAATACACATCGTAAATAAAGACTCACCATACCTGGTAACTCTATGACCAGCTTCGTTGCACATCTGTTTACCTTTTCACGGTTGCATAATGTTTTTTTAGAAGAGTGCTTAATGAAACAGGGAAATCTGCAATGATATTAAGCCTTCACTGCGCAAATACCACTAAATACCATTGAGATACCAAATACAGTCGTTGAGACAGATATGGATAAAGTATAAGATGCTATATAGACTTACTAATCTAAAGTATGAGACAGTTGAGATGAAATTGCTGATGTAAAGACATCATTTAATGGTTAAGAATGACTTGATGTGAAGTGCGTGGTTTGTGGTATACAAAAGTAAAAGGTATTGTTTGTTCTTCAGAACATACAATAAAGGATTATGTGTTTCAGATGACTTACTCCATGCATGTACTCCAGAACATGCCTCATAGAACATGTACTCTAGACGAAGTCTACGAAAACACTACAGAAAAGTACTTCTCGTAAATTTCTTGGTTAGCATCTCGGGGCTCTGGACGAAAGCACATTTATTGAGTACATAATGCTTCAAAGGCGGCGATAAAACAAACAACATAACCATAACCACAACATTCTAGCAATCTTACAGTGTTATGACACAACTTAACAACAACTTTCCAGCAACCTTACTGTATTACAGCACAATGTAACCACAACTTTCTGGCAGCCATACTGCATTACAGCACAATCTAACCACAACTTTCTAGCAACCATTCTGCATTACAGCACAAAGTAACCATAACTTTCCAGCAACCTTTCTGTATTACATTACAATGTAACCACAACTTTCTGGCAACCATACTGCATTGCAACACAATGTAACCACAAATTTCTATCAATCATTTTATATTACAACACAATGTAACCACAACTTTCCAGCAACCTTGCTAACTTACAGTCAGTGGCAGCTCACCAATAGGAGCCTATGAGCTACAGTCCCCTCGGACCCTCACAGCCAGGTGGATGACTCCATCACCCACACACTAAAATAATATAGTGAGGCGTTGACCAGACCACACACTAGAAATTGAAGGGACGACGACGTTTCGACTTGAGAATGGTCCAAGACGGACCGAAACGTCGTCGTCCCTTCAATTTCTAGTGTGTGGTCTGGTCAACATACTTCAGCCACGTTATTGTGACTCATCGCCTGCAATATAGTGAGTCATAACGAAAAGTCTTTATATGGAATTTTTCATATATTTATAACTAAACTGTAACAATTTTCATTAAAATGAGACGAAAATAGAGGCTTCATGCTGTACAATAGTGATGCAGTCTCTCCATTCTATTATGACATGAGCCACCACTGATGTTGTGATTAAAGCTAAATGTAACTACAACCTTATTCCAGCAACCTTTATTCAGAAAGACCTCAGTTTATAAGATGTTGTCTTATATATATTAATTTAAACTTTTTCTTCTATAAGTGCTGGTAAAAACGGTATCAATTTCAAGTTTAATTTCGAAAAGATCAATGAATAGCTTAGCACACTTCTGATTTTATCTATGTAAGAGCCCATAAGAGCTTAACACACCTCAAGCTTCATCTATGTAAAAATTAGAAAGAGCTTAACATGTTACAAGTTTTATCTATGTAAGGGTTAGGATGAGCTTAAGACAATAAGCTTTATCTCTAAAGGCGCTAGAAAAACTTAACATGTCACAAGCTTTATCTATGTATGAAATTGGAAGAGCTAAAGTTTCTGTAAACTTTATCTCCAAAGATTCTTGAGAGAGGTGTCTTTTTAAATTTGAGATGCTTTATATGTCCTAAGATGCCCGACAGACCACTGGAACATTATCTAAGACAGTGCGCAGTTACAAACCCAAAAGGATTTCAACTTAGATTCAACAGAGCAGAAGAAGTTGTTAAACACATGGGACAAAATCTTACTGAAGCGACCATACGAGTCATAAATACTCATACTCCGCCCAAGTAAAACAGAAACAAGCAACACTTAGTGGGCCAGCCAGAGGCTTAGGACCCGCGCAGGAATATCCCTGCAAAAAAAAAAAGTCCTAAGACACTCTTCACTGATTGTTGAAAAAGATTTACCAGCGAAGCTGAACTTTTTCAGCTGAACTGAAAAAATCATGCTTTTTTGACCTAAATTTCACCTATGAAGCAGATAAATGTTGTCTAGAGTCTTGCTGTGATGTGCTGACAATTTTGCAACACTTCATAAATAAATAGGTAGGGACAAATTTAGGGACACAAAAGCACATAGCAACTTAGAGGTCTTTTTGTAATATGTGTGTAATCACTTAGATGTGTTCACCAGACCACACACTAGAAGGTGAAGGGACGACGACGTTTCGGTCCGTCCTGGACCATTCTCAAGTCGGGAATGGTCCAGGACGGACCGAAACGTCGTCATACCTTCACCTTCTAATGTGTGGTCTTGTCAACATACTTTAGCCACGTTATTGTAACTCATCGCCTGCATCACCTAGATGTACTCGACTAGCTGTACTTGCAGGGGTTGAGCTTCGGCTCTTTGGTCCCGTCTCTCAACCGTCAACCTGTGTGTTGGTAGTGTTGTGGTACAGGTGTTAGCCATGGTCCTGTGTTTAGTGACGGTGACATGGATGATATGACTAGAGATGATGCATTTTTAGTAATGGTGGCTGCTATTAGGTGAATTAATGATGACCATATTGCTAGTGTTTAGACTAGTGCAATATTTCTTAGCACTTAGTTGCTAAGAAACTAAAAATTGGCGAGGACACCATGTCTCTAGAGATGAAAATACTTTGTTTGTCTATGTTCTCTCTCTCTCTCTCCTCCCTTCCTCGCAGAAGATTGAAAGTGGTGATGCCCATTACAGCAGCGATAGCAGCGGTAAATCAGCCCAGTCTGTGACCTTTATTGAAGAGGAACTCTCCTTTCTCTCCGTAGGCGGTACAAGGCTTTTAACATATATATGGTCTCAACATCTGAAGTGCCGCCAAATTTATGGGAAATACGAGTTTACCGAAAGGTTTTTTCCTCGCGAGAGACAAAATGCTCCGATGAAGGGTTTGTTATGTGTATTTTCTGATATTTTTCTTGTTAGATAAAAATAAGATGAAGAGGTGTTTTTATAGTGTATTCTCTCATTGGACACAAAATGCTCTAGAAGGGCTTACTTTGTATATTTTTAATAGTCACTAGATGGAATATGCTATCACGGGGTTACATTACTTTATACCTAAACCGACAGATCAAAATATCGACGTTTAGGCCGTGTCTCCGATTGGCTGCTTCACAAAATTAGCCTTTGGTTTGGTTTCTAGGGCTCGAACTTCTTGGTATAAGTAGTGGCTGAGCCGTACAAGGCCGGAAATTGCTTTGTTGTCAATGTGAGAATTGTGGCAAGTTGCTGAACTGACAGCTTAGTTGATCACATTTAAAAATGAATACCACCGAGGGTCTGATTGTCGAATACAATTTTCTTCTAAAATCATGTTTTTG